TACATCACCAAGCTTAAAACCCTAAAGATATTGTAGGCCAGTGTGGTGGTGCATACCTACAATCCTGATGCAGGAGGCTGAGGCAGGATTACAAACTCAGGCCAGCCTGGGATACATAGGAGTTCAAGACCAGCCTGGACTAGAAAGTGAGACCCTGTCTCAAAAACAAAACAAAACAAACACAAAACAAAACAAAAGGCTGGGTATACGGCACACATCTGTGATGCCAGCACTCTAGGAAGCTGAGGCAGGAGAACAAATTCAAACCCAGCCTGGGCAATTTACCTATTTAGCAAGACCCTGTCTCAAAATAAAAAAATATGAAAAGGGCTCGGGATATAGCTCATTGGGAAGGCCCTGGATTCAATCACCAGCAAAGAAAAAAGAAGGTAAAAGAATATTTAATAAAATTAGGAAGAGTCAGGATGTACATGAAAAGAAGATTAAATACTAACCAAAAAGTGTTAAGCTGTAGGTACTGGGATCATGCAAAACAGTGTATTAGTCTCATGTTTTCCAAATGTCCCATAATTGACATATACTACTTTATAATAAAAAACATTAATCATTCATGTTGAAAGACATTTAGGACAAAAGTTTTATGTCTATTCTGTCTACAGTTGGTACTGGACACTCAAAAAATAATGTAGACAGGGCCTGGGATTTAGCTCAGTGGTGCCGCCGCCTGCCTCGCAAGTGCAAGGTCCCAAGTTCAATCCCCAGTACCAAAAAAAAAAAAAAAAAAAAGTAGACAACTTGACAAAACTGCTCAACCCAAAAAACAAAAAACTGCTCAACCCACCTGAGAAATGTCTACTTCCAGAGTCTCAGCTCTTAGTTTTTTGAATTTTTAAAAGACTTAGCCAGAAGAAAGATAATTCCAATTTCACATCCGTTTAGTTCGTTTATTACACTCTCACTCACTCCAGGAGGTCACACAATCTAAAGTACCCACTTCATGGGGCCGGGGATTTAGCTCAGTGGTTCTCCTGCCTGCCTCAAAAGGACCCAAGTTCAATCCCTGGTACCAAAAAAAAAAATTAAAAATAAGAAATAAATAAAGTACCCACTTCAGGGCTGGGGATTTAGCTCAGTGGTTCTGGTGCCTGCCTTGCAAGCTCAAGGTCGTGAGTTCGATTCCCCGGTACCATAAATAAATAAATAAATAAAGTACCCACTTCCAAGTTCTGAGTGAATCACAACCTCTTCGTATAGAAGAACTAAAAAGGAAGCTGCATACCAGAAGCCGCCCACGTATGACACCACACCTCAGGTTCACAGTTTCTTTCTTCAGTGCCAAGCACTACTTAACCCTAATTGCACGTTATGGTTCCACAAACAACAGAATTTTTGTAAAGAGCTACATTTCTGTGGCAAGGGTTGGATTTGAATTATACATCCATCCCCAAGTTGCACACACTCTGTTTTTCTGTTGCATGAGTGATCTTATAAAGTTTTTTTATTTGTTTTTTGTTTTATTTTTTGAGACAGGGTCTCATGATGTAGTTCAGGCAGGACTTGAACTCACTATGTAGCCCAGGCTGGCCTCAAATGCAAGGCGATCCTCCTGCCTCAGCCTCCTGAATGCTAGGATTACAGATGTGCACCACCACACCTGACAATCTTGCAAAGTTTTGAGGGTTCTTTCCCTTTTAGAGTGGCAGTCACCCTCATTCAGTCAATGCCATACTGCACCTATTAACACAGCTTCCTTTTAAAACCAGCAGAGGAAGCCTGTGCTGAGACTATGGGGCTGGCACTAACGGTTGTCCCCAGCTGCCAAAGGACCTAAGAGGAAACTTCTTGGACTGAGAACTGTCACAAAAGGAAGCCACCTTTTTCCTTCCCGAGTCCCTCTGGGTAGCAGCACAACCACTTTTCCAGGTCTTCCCATTGGTCGTCACTACAGAAATCCTTGACTAGTGCCCTTCCCTTCACTCAGCGTCAGGGAAAAGACTCCCCATGCCAGAAAGGACTGGTCACATCTGCACCCCCACCCCGCAAATGTGAAGTCACTAAGAAACACTGGACAGCACTGGGGAAAGCTGGGACTTCAGCTTGGACATCCACGAAGCCTGACAGCCCTGAGGTGCCTTGAAAACCCCACCACGCACGCTTGGCTTAGTGTGTTAGTTTTCTTTGCCTTCTGGAAAAAGTCAAGAGGGGACTGCGGTGTCACTCAGTGGCAGAGCACCTGCACTGCTTGCAGGAAGCCCTGGTTCCAACCGCCACAACCAAAAAAAAAAAAAAAAAGACACCACTTTCTCTTTCCCTGATGCTCCATTAAAAAGGCCTGAATACACTTTCCAAGTTGATATAAAGGCACAGTCTTGGTCGTGAGGAAACCACTGGCTCAAAACTAAGGGCGAAGTGTGACAAAGTGCCTTGGCTTCAGCCCCACGGGAACAGAACAAAGGACTCTATCTCCCTCAGTGCAGCCCAGCCTTTCCAGCCCCACCAGGGCGCACCTGCCAGGTGAGTGCGAGCTGAGTCTGGGGCCCAGGGACCCAGCCACCAGGATAGTTCCCCACTCTGGCTGCCACCTGCTGTCACCTCTCCATTGATGTGGCATCTGCCCTCCAGGGCCCACCCAAGCGCTGTCAGTATCAGACCTCGGGTGTTTCCCCCCTAAATGACAAAGTGAAACAGGAGACAGAAGTGGCCCGGGACATAAAATGTTTGCCCAGTGACTCTCAGTTCCATCAGTGCAGGTCCTGTTCCCTTGCACACCCTGTTCACTTATCAAGCTCACAATCAGTCAGTCTTGACTGGCTCCTCCTGGACTAAGAACCAAGAACACAGGCTGCCTTGTTCACGAGGCGTCCCCAGCACTAAAAACGGTGCCTGGGCATAGGAGACACTCAATAAAAGCTTGTCCCTTCTTTCCCAAACACCTGTCAATGCCAGCAAAGGCCAGGGACTGTGCGGAGTCCTGACCCCGGAGATCGGCAACAATAAACAAGTAAACACACACACAGGCCAGTGTGCGGGGACCTGCTGGGCAGGCAGACGGCTTCGTTCCACTCGCTGACAGCCCTCCCCTGCCAGCTCGGCTCCCTCTGCCTCTTCCTGTCCCCTGCACCTGAGACCCTCTGCCCCGAGCTCTTGCCCAGGCCGGCTCCTTCCTGTTCCCATTCGGGGCTCTACCCTAAGGCCACCTCCTCTGAGATGCCTTCCTTGATCATCCCTCCACCCGCTGATTTATAGTCCTCGGGGCTCACGCACTGACTGCCTAAGACAGACCCTCAGAAGTCCCGACAGGACTCGGGGCGGCCTCCCCGACTCGGGTCTGGGCCTCCGGGAGAGCCGCACGCCGGACAGGGCCACCCAGGGCAAGCGGGCAGAGGCGCCGCCACCAGGCGTTGGGAGACGGGAGACGCGGCAGATGCGGAGACTCTGGGGCCAGGCCCCGGCCCGGAGGCTCAGGCGGGGCAGCGGGGCCTCAGTTTCCCCGCCTAGGCAGTGGGGCAGGGAGGCCCGAGAGGCAGGTGAAGCCACGGCGCCGACACTCACATCTCGGAACTGGACCAGGCCGCGCTCGCCCAGCGCGCTGAGGCACTCGTAGGCCGTGCCCGCCTGCAGGAAGAGCTGCGCCAGGCACACGGGCTCGCTTCGGAACAGCGACCCCATGGCGGGCGCGCGGCCGGCTCGGGGCAGCCGGGGCTCGGGCTCCTCCTGCGGCCTGGCGATCGCTCCGCACCATGGGGCTCCTGGGGGCTGCTGCAGCGTACCCGCCCAGCCTCCGCCGCCTCGCTCCAACTGCAGCCACCGCCGGTTCCGGTTCCGCCCGCGAGGCCCCGCCCACAAGGCCGACCAATGGAAGGCCGACCAATGGGACCCCGAAGTTTCGGCCGCGGGCCAGGCCGTTCGCAGGATTCCTTCGGGCTTTGGGAACGAGTCCGTAGTTTGCTTGGCGTGCAGGGCTCCGGTCTCGGGATACAGTTCAGTGGCGTTCGTGGAGTTACACAGGGCGCAGCCATCACCGCAATCCACACCCGGCCCTCCCCAGCGGACTCCCCTGCCACGCGGCCCAGCCTGGCGTCCTCGGAACGGCTGCGTCCCGGGGCCACCCCGCGAGCCAAAACCTGACGGGAGCCTGCTCGAGATCTCCGGCTTGCAGCCGGGCTCGGCAGTGAGCACTCCTGTAATCCCAGCACTCCGGGAGGCTGAGGCAGGAGCATCCCAAGATCAAGCCCAGCCTGAGCAATTTAGCGAGACCTTGCCTCAAAAAAATAAAAACCTTCTGGCTTCTCTGCGTTCCGAACAGAATCCACACCTCGGGGGGACCCCGACTCCCACCTCCGCAACCCCCAGCTCCCAGCGCCCGCCCTAGGGCTCGTCCCTTAGCTCGAGCACGCCCCCCTTCCCTCTAGCTGAGGCGGCGCCCTAAAACTTGCTGGGGAACCCTCCTACCCCGGCCCTGTCAAAGCTGGCTCCGTCAAGTTCCGGTTGCAAAGTACCCTCCTTTGAGAGCGAGCCTGCCCGCCTCCGCTTCACACCCGGTGCAACCCTCCACGGCCACCCCGCTGTGGGAGTCACCTTTTCCCGGTAGTCACCGCCCTGGGAGGGAATCGCCCCGGGCGCGGGACTCTCACGCTCACCGCAGAGTCTCGAGGGCCCCGCAAGCAGGGTCCCTACCGTTGAGCTACACCTCCAGCCCAATAAATGTTCCTAGGGCTCGAACGCAGGGCCATGCTAAGCCTGTGCAGACTGCCGAGCTCCCCCCAGGATTACGCGCATCTGTAAGGCTTCATGCCTTCGTGTCTCTAGAATACAGGAAATATAATCAACACAAATATGTAAAACTTAAAAACTGACTCTGGCGTAAATAAAGCCCCTGTGACTGGGAATTTGTGATAAGCTGAAATTTCTAACCTTTATTTACATGGCTGATCTCCTAAACTAGGGATTTCAGTGCTGTGGTGATGAGAACGTGCATTTGGCACTGCTTTGAACATCTGGGTTGTTATATGAATGAATTAAATGCACACAAGCCCTGGTAAGAATTTTCTATAAAAATAAGATTTTATTTATTAAAGTATGACGGAAGCACGAAGGACCACAACAGTCGGAGAAGCCTAATGGTGGATGGCAGCGGAACGCCAGGCTTTGCACATGTGCACCCACGGGTTACTGAGGAACACGGCCAGCAAGAGGAGGGCAACCAACAGCAGGCCCTTGGCCACACACTGCGAATAAGGTTCCCCTGGAAACAATGATAAACACTGAGTAGTAGCATTTCTTAACTTCTGTTTTTTTGTGTGTGCGTTTGTGGAGACACAGTCTCAATATGTGGTTCAGACTGGCCTAGAACTCTCAGCGATCTTCCTGCCTCAGCCTCCCAATTGCTGGAATTATAGGCATAGACCACCACATTTTTCTAATAATTATTTCTCTAATAATTTAGGTAGGAATACGTCAAACCATCAAGGGTGATCATTTCCAAGTATATCAGTATCAGTACATTTTTTCTTTTTAAACTTTCTGTAAATTTTAAATTTCCTGCAATATTTATACATTTTTAAAAAATTAGCTGATACAGCCAGGTGTGGTGGTGAATACTTGAATTCCCAGCACTCAAGAAGCTGAGGCAGGAGATCACTGAAAACTGAAGGCCAGCCTATGCTACCTAGTGAGTTCAAGGCCCGGCTGAACTACACAGCAAGACCCTGTCTCAAAATACAAAGAAGAAATAAAATAATATGTAGCTGACACAGCCTGATGACCATTGCAGAAGTCAACTTTACCATGGTGGCGCAGGCCTGTGATCCCAGCATTCAGGAGGCTGAGGCAGGAAAATCATCAAGAGTTCAAGGACAGCCTGCAAGGAGCTACACAGCAAGACCCCGTCTCAAAAAGAAAAAAACGAGGGCCAGGAATTAAGCTCAGTGGTTCCAACTTGTGCCTCGAAAGTGCAAGGTCCCAAGTTCAATCCCCGGTACCAGAAAAAAAAAAACAAAGAAAGAAAATTGGCTTTACTGACCTTGATAATACTGGGTCAATGGATACAGAAGTTGCGGCCAACACACATCATTTCTGTTGCAGTCATACTCTGTGAAATTGATCTGGAATCTGCAAAACAGTTTAGCAGCTTACAACAGCTACAAGGAGTGAAAGGCTCAGAGCTCGATGGAAGGGAGACGTGTGCCCAGTCTATTTTATTTTTTTTGGTACCGGGGGATCCAACTTGGGACCTTGCATTTTCGAGGCAGGCACCGGAACCACTGAGATAAATCCCCGGCCCTGCCCAGTCTATTTTAAGTCTGTATCTTTCTGCTTCCTCACAATGTCTACACGGCAGCAACCGGATTACCTGGTCAGGGGGCGGGGCAGCTGGGCAGGTATTTTGATAAACCGGACGTAGGCACTGAGTGGGAGGACGTCACTCTCACCCTGGCATGCCAGCCCACACTGGTACTGCCAGTCCACGGCGAAGAACCTGGAGGGGAGGCACCCCGGCCGTGAGGATGGCTGACGTCCTCTACGGGGTCAACAGATCACATTGACATTGCAAAACTCTTCAAATACAGACACAAGGAGAAAGAATCCAATGAACACTCCAGCCTGTCTCCCGGCTACAGTCACTAATTCTCTTCTGCTCCAGCTGTCTCATTTTATAGAGGTGGTTTTTTGTTTGGTTTTGGTTTTTTTTTTTCCTCTGTTATTTTTGAGACAAGATCTTCCTATGTAGCTCCTGCTGACCTCGAACTCATGGCGATCCTTCTGCCTCATCCTCCTAAATGCTGAGATTATATGCGCGAGCCACGGTGCTCAGAATAGGAGTTTTAAAAGTTAACTTGTCTCTCAGTATAACAGTAACAAGAGCCAACCATTTATTGAACGTTCTTGCTGTGAGCAGAGCTGAGGTGCTTTGTACACATGGTCTCTGTGTGGTGGATTTGGTAGTGTAGTGTTACCCAGCATCCCTTCTTTCTTTAGGGACCTGCACCCCAACTTTCTCAACTACTGCTCGAAGCTCTCAGTTCAGTGGAGCAGAAGATACCAGCCTGAATCACCTGCACCGAGATGAAGGGAAGAAAATTCCTGACCCCGTGGGAACCAGGACCCAGGAACTAGCTATGGGCGGACTTTTCCACTCGCCTTGCTTAATGGGACTCTGTAGTAGGCCTGCTACATACAGGCCCGGTCACCACTTGGAGCTCAGGAGACAGTGACCACCCAAGCCTCAGGCAGAGGAGAAATGGGCCCGCCAGGACTACACCTGTACCCACGGTGCGCCCTTGGGCCAGCGTGCCAACTGCAGGCCCACGGGGCACTCAGAGCTCTCTACGTGGAACAGGTGTCCCGATAAACAGTGCACACATCCATCGCCACTGCTGCTCACTGCAATCGGGGAGTAAATGACTGGTGTCCAGCCTCCCAAGCCCTCACCATACCCACTCCTCCAGACTCCATGGACCGAGATGGACCACACCTGGTCTCCACGCCAAGGATCTCCTGCTGCTCGATGCCCTCCACTGCACCGGCGTCTGCGAAGAGGATGCGGATGTGCAGCTGGGAGGGAACAGCTGGGCAGATGCCGAGGGCGCCACCGGCAGTCCGGTCCATGCTGCCATTGGGGGCTTCTACACCTAGGGGAACAGTTACTCATTTAGGGGTTCTTTTTGGTTTTTTCTTTTTTGGTACCGGGGATTGAACTCAGGACCTTGCGATTTTGAGGCAACTGGCTGCACCACTGAGCTAAATCCCCAGGCCTGTTTTGCTTTGTTTTTGAGACATGGTCTTGCCATATAGTACAGTCTGGCCCTTAACTCACTACATAGCCCAGGCTGACCTCAAACTCGCAGTGATCCTCCTGCCTCAGCCTCCCAAGTGCTGGGATCCCAGGTGTGCTCCACCAGCCCTGGGTCAAGTTACACATTTTTGAAAGAATAATAACAGTTTTCCTATAATGTCATGGTACCACAAAAAGGGGAAATAATATTAGACAGGAATCCTACTGTGAGCCCTTCATCTCTATGAAGCTGTAGATGTCACTCTGTGCCTGTGTGACTCCCTGAGGTCTATGAGGCACAGGCAGGTGCTGGTTACCCAAAGCTGGGTTTCAAACATTTCCTTGGATGGAAAAGTAGTTGCTGAAATTTGAACAGTCTTGAGCGCACAATAAAACCATCAATCAGGGTTCTATTTCCAAGCTGCCTACTGAAATCCAGCCAGCCTTTTAGCAGAAGCATTTTAATTGAGTTATTTCAGGTGGTCACAGTTCTAGTAAAAGCTATAGAAGGCCCTGATAATTCACTCCACAAGAGGAGTTCATAGAGGTGGATGAGGAGTAATTTCCTGAGGGAGACCGAGAGATGGGTGGAGGGGAGGGAATGGGAGGGAAGAGAAGGGGGAGGAAACAGAATGGAGATGTGTTACGAACATGCGCCAGGTCCCCACGATGAATGTGATCATTATGTACGCAGACGTGGACTAATCCAAAGTTTACAAGGCAATTTCCTAGTGTTGCCATGGCAGCAGCACAAATGCAAGAGAACAGAAGTGAATGGGGGATTAATTTCTGTTCATCTCAAAGAGTGGCACTGGGGAAATTAGCTGTGACAGGAGTGAGTGACAGGTCCCAGGGAGGCCCTGGAGGGGGCTTCTTTGTCCTTTCAGAGACTGTGGCTGACACTGTCCCCCAAGGCACCCAACTGCCCCATCCCTGATATATCACTTCCGGTTCTTAGCCAGGATGTGGGCTGCATATCTTGCTCTACCTGGAGGAGCTCACCCCTCCCCCACCGGGGACAAATGCTGCCACCTCTCTGATTTCAAAGTCACCTGAGAAGCTGGGCTCTCTGGAAACTCCCGTATTTCTTACTTCTCGGGTGCTTTTTAAATTTTGTTTGTGTGTTTTGTTTGGGTTTTTTTGGTTTTGGGGGGTTTTTTTGTTTGTTTGTTTGTTTTGGTACCGGGGATCAAACTCAGGACCTTGCGCTTTCGAGGCAGGCGCCGGAACCACTGAGCTAAATCCCTAGCCCTTGTTTGGTTTTTTTGAGACAGGGTCTTGCTACGTAGTTCATGCTGGCTTTGAACTCACTGTGTAGCCCCTAAGTGATCTTCTTTTCTCAGCTTCCTGAGTGCTGGGATCACAGGCGTGTGACACCCTCAGGTGCTTTGACCACATCCTTCCCTAGATTGCTTTGTGTATTTCCTCTCTAAAATGATAAAAGACTGCTGGAGGGGCCGGAGATTTAGCTCAGTGGCACCGCACCTGCCTCAAAAGCACAAGGTCCTGAGTTCAATCCCCAGTACCGCAAAAAGAAAAAAAGACTGCTGGATGTGGTGGGGCACACCTGTAATCCCAGCCCTTGAGAGGCTGAGGCAGGAGGATCACCATGAGTTTGAGGCAAGCCTGAGTGACACAGTGAGCTCAAGGTCAGCCTGCACTACAAAGCAAGACTATCTCAAAAAAAATTATATATATACACACACACACACCCACACACGAAGTTGAGCGTGGTGGTGCACACCTGTATTCCCAGCACTTAGGAGGCTGAGGCAGGAGGATCTTGGTGAGTTTGAGGTCAGCCTGGGCTACATAGGGAGACCGTCTCAAAAAAAAAAAAAGAAAAAATATAAAAGAGGGCAAGTGTAGTGGTGCACAGTTGTAATCCCACTTCTTGGGAGGATGAGGCACGAAGATCAAACATTTGAGGCCAGCCTGGGCTACACAGCCAGTTCATGGCCAGCATGGAACATAGAGTAAAACCACGCCTTGGACAAGTAAGTACATAAGAGACAGCACGAACGTGGGGTGAGAGACAGAAGGGCTTCCTGCCTGGAGCGGTGACCCCAGCTGTCCAGGTAAGCCACCAAAGAAGAGACCTCACACATCAGCCGCTAATGCACAGGCACTGCAGTCACAGCCCCCAGTCTGCCGCCTCCCGAGGGTGCAGGGAGACTCACGCAGGACCTCCAGCCAGCCGTCGCTCAGGTCTCGGGAATCAGAGTTGCCTCTCGCTCCGACATGCGTGGCTTCTATTAAGGAACCGAGTTTCTTGGCCACGCTCTCCCTGCAAGAGAACGAGGCAGAGCTCAGCCCAGTCAACAGATCCATCCAGACACTCTGGTCGCTGCCCGACGCCCCAGTGCCAGCAAAACTGGCACTGAACCTGGCTGGGAGCCCTGCTTCTCCCCGGCCTTCCCACAGAGCTGCACCTGGGAAGCTAGGGAAATGCAGGCGGCAGCAGCCTTCCTCACACTGGGCTTAAAATACCGCTAACCTATGTACGGTGTGGGGGAGCAGGCCTGTAATCCCAGCACTCGGGAGGCTGAGGCAGGAGGATCGCTGTGAGTTCAAATAGTGAGACCCTATCTCCCACAAAATAAAACAGAAAAGCAAATTACTTGCTGCCAAAGGCTGGAGGGAGGAGGAAACAAGGAGTAACTATTTAACCAGGATAGGGTTTCCCTCTTTTGCTGATGGAAATGTTTAGAACTAGATAAAGGTGGTGATTATACAATATCATCAAAAGTACTAAAAGGCACTGAACGGTTCACTTTTTTTTTTTTTTGGTACCGGGGATTGAATTCGGTTCCTTGCACTTATGAGGCAGGTGGCAGAACCACTGAGCTAAATCTCCATCCCTGTTCACTTTTGAGACAGGGTCTCAATATGTAGCCCAGGGTGGTCTTGAACTCATGGCCATCCTCCTGCCTCAGCCTCCCAAGCGCTAGGATTACAGGTGTGTGCCATCATGCCCAGCTCCTATTCACTTTAAAGTGACTAATTAGCCAGGTCGGGGATTTAGCTCAGTGGCACTGCAGCTGCCTCGAAAGCACAAGGTCCTGTGTTTGATGCCCAGTACTGAAAATAAATAAATAAAGTGACTAAGTATATATATATAAATCCCCAGCCCAATTAAGAAAAAAGAATGCAGGCCAGGGATTTAGCTCAGTGGTTCCGGCGACTGCCTCGAAAGTGCAAGGTCCCAAGTTCGGTCCCCGGTACCAAAAAAAAAGAAAAAAGAATGCGTATGCATATATATAAATATACTTTCCAAATGCTAACAAAATGAACTAGAACATTCATTTTTTGTTTGTTTTTTAAGACAGGGTCTCACTGTGTAGCCCAAGCTGGCCTTGAACTTGAAGCGATCGTCCTGCCGCAGCCTCCCGAGTGCTGGGATCACAGATGTGCGCCACCACACCCAGCACTTTTTCAGAGCTCTCAGAACAGAAGATCACAATGGCCCGACAGACGGCAGCAGAGCTGCACTTCAATGGGGTTGGAGGGCGTTGGTCCAGACCTCGCTGTCTTCCCTGGCATCAGCCTTCTTGTCCACTTGGGTGCCAGTGCGACTTCATTCATTATTTGCGATCACTTCTCCACTATTTTCAATTCGCTCTCCCCTTACATATTCATGTTGTCCTTACTTTTTGGGCAGCAAATCAGCTTTAAGCCTAGCACACACAGTGCAGGCCAGCTCCTCACTCACCTGAGCTGAGTGCAGTTTTCGCTGACCCCTACTTCCAGAAGACACCCAGACTGCAAGTTCTCTCCAAATAAGACAGGCCTGAAAGTTGCTGAGGTGCACAAACTCCTTCCAGCTAGAAAAGGAAAAGATTGCCCTCCTCAATGTTTGTGTTGAACAAAAGTAAAAATGTAGCTGGACAAGGTGGCGCAGCCTGGAATCCTAGCAACTCTGGGAGGCTGAGGCAGGAAGATCACTAATTTGAGCCTGGACAATTTAGCCATTTAGTGAGACCCTGTCTCAAAATCAAAGAATAAAACAAGGGCTGGAAGGGGATAACTTAGTGCACAGAACCTGGGTCCAATCTCCAGGATCACAAAAATAAAATTAATTAATTAAAATTAAAATGTACATCAAAGTTTTTCATGAAGAACAGGGAGAAAACAACACATAAAGTTTGGAGTTTTCATGACCTGAGATTATTGTTCTCTAATCCTTTCCAAGCTGAACCCAGGCACCGTGCGTGTCAGAATCGCTGGTCCCATCACAGGCTCACTCTGAACAGGAAATCAGTGCCCGGGCAGATGCCGGTGATTGGCCGGGTGGTCAGACTCCCACACGGCAGGAAGCAGTGTTCGTGTGTCCGGCCAGCACCACGCTGAACCACAGGCAACAGAGGGGGGGTCCAAGCCCATCTCAGACCCACAGGTCGCTCACGCAGAGCCAGCGCTGAAGTACAAGCAGTGTTAATGGTCCTTCAAAAACAGCCAAGCCAGGCATGGTGGTGCACGCCTATCGTCCCAGCACTTGGGAGGCTGAGGCAGGAGGATCACCATAAGTTCGAAGCCAGCCTGAGCTACACGGTGAGTTCAAGGACTGCCTGAACTGTACAGTGAGGCTCTGTCTCAAAAAAAAAAAAAAAACAAACCTAACTGATTCCTTGATTAAATTCTGAAAGCAAAAATGTTTCTAACTCTAGTCCACCAGGGGGTTAATCCTGGCGGCCAACAAGGATTACCTGACTGCCAAACACGGAGAGTCGTAGCATTGCTCGCAGCATTGGTATTCAGGGCTCGGACTGGCCTGCCAAGCTGGTAACCTGGAAAAACACAAGGAACAGCGTTAGCATCTTTCCTAACCCAGGCTAAGGTTGCAAGGGCTGTGGCAGCAAGTCCCACAAGAGACGAAGCCGCGGTGAGAGAGACGCTGCAGGCGAAGCCTTTCCAAAGATACCCTTGTGGAGCAGGGGGAAGGAGAAAAAAGAGAATTGAGATGTGTTGGGAGCAATGCTACATAATTCTAGGGAAAAATCATTTGGTTAGCCTAGTTCTCTTGCCTACAGCCAAGCTACAGAATAACTCCAGTTTGGCCTCCGGTCACAACTGAGACTTCAGTGATCCAGTGATGCTGTGATTCTCCAGGACAAGGAACATCCTGGGAGAACAAACATCTGCTCAGTTCCTCATTGTTCTTGGACTGA